CATCTTAGCCATCTTGTGTAAAATTAATTTAAGTTTATCGAAAGTTTGTCATCAATTAATATTAATTTTAAAATGCCATTTTTGGAACAGATCATCAAATTTCTGATCTACTTGTATAGAAAATATTTCCAAGGTGGTCCAGAATTGTCTCCATTTCACCTGTTTTTTTTTAATGCATAATAAAATTATTTATATTTTATAGGGGGCCATACACGTTTTAATTAAAATGTATTTTATTTAAAAAGGAATTAATTTAATGACAATACTTTTTACTTTCCTGTCTATATACAGATAACGAAAGTATAGGAATCATGATTTTTCGAGTTTTCGACGGATTTTTACGGTTTGGGGTTCCCTGAAGTCGTTTTGACTATTTTCGCGATGATGTATGTGTATGTGTGTCTGTATACTCAATAAATCATGAACGGATAAAATGAAAAACACTAAACTTAAGGTTTGATCTATCATCTAATGAGTTGATTACATTTTAGGCATAGTCGAAACATCTAGGGGGAGGGGTACTTTATAGGGGGTCCTTTTTCTACTCCATGGAATATATGTTATTTACGTTTGGAGAAGAAAATTCTTTAAATAAAAGTTGCTAGTGTTGCTCTATAATTTTTATCCTAAAGGTACATAATGTTCCTAAAATGGTTGATATTTAAGAAAGTTTACAAAAAGTGCAAATTTCGAATATTTAAGAAAATTTTTCAAATAAAAGTTGCTTGTCATTCTCTTTAATTTTTGTCTTATACATGATTTATACCATATTCGAAATATTTGAGGAAAAGTCTAAACAGATATCTTTAATGTTAGCCTAAGAAAGTTTGTTAAAGTTAAAGAAATAATTTTTGCTAAATAACCTACGATGGCTCTAAAACCTACAGGTTAGGTAAATTAGTTAAATTTTTAAATTTTTCTCATTTTATATATAATTTTTTGAAGAAATAACCTGCGATGGCACCTGATATCACAGGTTAGGTAAATTAGTTAGGTTTTTTCTCATTTTGTTAATTTTTTTGTGAGGTAACCCCAATGTCTCCAGGCCGTATAGGTTAGGTTAGGATTTATCCTTATTTTTATATATTATGATGACTAAACACAAAATTTTTTAATTAGTGATATTTTATTTGGCAAATATGGAAAACAAAAAATTTTAGGGGGAGGGGGTAAATTTCATGAGACCGCCGGGGTTTTTTTTGGAAGCCTTGTTTACTTTTTTTTGTTAAAATGAGGATCACTCTAAACTGCATATTTTTTTCCGCAGACTGAATAGGAGAGTAGCCAGGACAGAAAACAGAAGAATATTTTTTAATTTAAATTTTTTATTATCAAAATTCTTATTGTAATTTATTTTTTTAGATTTTAAACCCACCCCATTGGAGATTTTATATTTTTGTTGGAATTCACATACAGGGTGTTTCCATATCAATATGTTATTTACACTTTCTACATTTTCTATAATTTTTTTCCTACACATATTTTCCCAAAATGGTACATATTCGAGAAATTTGATAAAAAGTGCAAAATTCTCTATAATTTTTGTTCTATACTTGATATATCTTTAAAATGGAGGGTAATTAAAAAAATTGACAAAAAGGGTAAAATTTTAATTGTTCTGTATTTTCGTTGGCAATAAATACATGTAAAAAATATTTGGAGTAAGAAGTGTGTGGAAAATCTCTAAACATTTACAGGTGTAATATACAGTAGGTTGTAGAAAATAACCGGAAAAAGCTTGTAATAAAAAGACAGGAAAGTCATGTTTTGCACACATTAGATTTTTATGTAAAAAAGTGAAAAGAATTATTTTTGCAAAAAAAATAGTACACAAAAACTATAGGGATAAAAAGCACATCCTAATTCATCCCTATAGTTTTAGAATAATAGTTGGCAGATGCAGTGTTAGTATGAGTTTTAATTTAATATGTTTAAATAAAAAGTGATCTACAACAATAGTTTGTGCAACAAGAGTGATGATAGCCATATATGAGACGGACAACCCACCCAAGTTGTACAGTATATTTTTTTACTACCCACTAACGAAAATTTACAAAATTTTAAAAAATTATTTAGAGATAATTAAGATAAAATGACTATTTTAAAAATATCTGATAACTTTTATTAATTTATTAAATTAAATACACAAAACAAAAAAATATTTTTTAAATTTATGCTATATTTATAAATATACTCGAATATCTCGTTGAATCCTTTTATTTATCGATTCTTCACAAGAATCATAAAACAATTTTCACGTTTTTTTTACGTCTTATACAAACTTTAGTTTTTATTTTTCTTGTATGATCCATAATACATGTACTATACAAAATTTAGTTCTCCTGATGTAACACCCAGCTAATGTTATTTACTGGAAACCAATTGGAAAGCCATACATTGTTGTAAAAATCCTTCGGAAATGCCTGCAATTTTAAAAAAATAGTGGCAATCCATACGGAAATCGCCGCAATCAGTATGGAAATCGCCGCAGTCAACACATAAATGAGCGCAGTCACGAGAAATCTATTGAAGTCATGTGGAAATCACCGCAGTAACTAGAACTCTGTAGGAAGTCACATGGAAATCGTGATTTGAAAGAGTGATTTGCCCCTCGAGTATATGTTATGCTGCGTGAACATTAGAATAATAACCTGTCAAACGATTGACCAATCATCTGATGGCCAAATCTTGAAGTTGGATACATATTGATGTTAAAATATACTTTATCTAGCTCTTAATGATCAATATATGATCGAGTCGGGTACTTCACCTTTTAACGACCTCTGGTGAATTTTTTGGAACTACGTTGTGTTTGGTGCCATATCGTCTTTTGTTTTTATATGGGATTTTAGGAAAGTTGAAACACCTATTGTCTTTCATCGTGGTATTAAATTTTCGTAGATAGCTAAACTTCGATAATTATATTATCAAAATGTCTGATATCAGCGATATAGAAGACTTACCATCGACTCTTCCACACATATCGGAGAAAGCAAAAAATGCAATACACAATATTTTGCCCCAAAAATCTATGGTAATACCAATACCCGAGGTAATATTAATTACAATTTTGTAGAATGTTTTTATAGAAATACGAGTAATTACTGTTCTTGATTATTTATCGGGTGTAGAAAAAATAGCGTATGCAACTCTCATGTAATGGTTATTAGTATACTCGGTTAATGTTCGTGTATTAATAACCATCATTACATGATCGTTGCATAATATACGAGATAATATACTATTTTAAATAAAAAATAAACTAATTATATTACTTCTATCAAAAAACGATAGAAAATAATGTTGATGGGTCAATAATTAATAATTAAAAATGATGATTATTTTATTTAAGCGTTTTTGCAAAATAGAAATATTTTGGAAAATTTGGAATGTCTCTTTCCACACTGTATATATATGCTAGACTTGTACGTCCACCAAAATATAAATTAACCGCCAAGGAAAAACAATATTTGATATAAAACATTTTGAAAAATCACCACAGTGTCACTCAAAACGTTTTTATTTTTGAAAGTACTTCTTATTAATTTTTTATTGATCATGTGGGTATTATGAAACTGTATCACGATTAACAACTATGAATAATGAGTACCTACCTATAATTAAAATATTTTTTTTTTATTTAAATCTGAATACAGATTTGAATTAATTATTTTTAATACAATATATTGTTATTGTTCTGTATTTATCGTGTTAAATTTTATGTCAAATTTTTTGCGACCTTATCATCATCGAACTAATTTTAATTGATAGGAAAAAAATGTGAGCGTGTGACAAATTTATTTTGGTATTTTGATATAAAGTTTGGTAACCCTGTTCTGATGATATCGTATATTAAAATAATCAACATATGTTTTAGTATTTAAGATATGGATTCACCACATCATCTTAATTTTATTTCTAATTTGCCAAATTTTAAAAGGATTATTAGAATAAAAAAAAATGTACCCACATTTTCTCGAATTTTTGCAAGACTTATTTTGTTTATATAACATTTACCTAGTCTCAGAAATGGACAAAAATTCCGGGTTGAAGGTTGACAGGTACAGGTTTTTTTGCGCTTAGGTTTTTTTAGGTTTAAAAAAAACTAAAAGTAAAAATTCTGCAATTTTAGGTTTTTTAAGACACTTAAATATTATTAATTCACAATTTTATTCATCAACTTTTGGGAGAAAGACTGCAAAAATTATTAGTGCCTATTTATAAAAACAAATGCAAATATTTTATCAAAGGTTATACCACTGGAACTTCTTGATATTGATATTAATGATAGACAATAAAAAATTCCATTTATCCATTTTTCTCGTTTTGTTTTTTTTGCAGAATATTATTTTTTTCATACAATAAAATTTACTTTTCAAGTTATGCTTGTTTTGTTTTAACTTTTGACATATAAGTATCTACTACAAACCTTACAAAACCTATAAAACATTAAAAACCTAAATAACCTAAAAACTTACTCATATATTTTTTAATTCTTAGGTTTTTCCAACCCTGGTGAAAATAAGGGCTCTTTTAATCACTATATTATAAATTCAGCATTTTTTTGTATAATAAAATAATAAAAAATTGATTTTTTAAATGTTTTTAAAAAATCGATACGTTTCGATGTTATTTTCTTTTTGGAAATATTAAAGTCCCTTCTACAGTTTTCTTAATATATTTGATTTATAAAAGAACGGTATTTAAATAAACATTTTTAATTAATTTATCTTGGTACTATTTTATTTATTTTTTTGGGGAGGAGGATAGGATCTTTTGAGGGATTTGGCGGTCACCTGGATAATTATTAAACTAGGAGTTGAAATGTTGTTTGATATACCTACCTAGGCTTAAATTATTTATTTTCAAGACATGACATGATGTTTAAATCAATTCGTCTTCCGACTATGTACAGGTAATAAAAATATTCGCAGAAAAAAATCCACAAGCACTGAATACAAACATGATCGTAAAATATTGATTCTTAATTCTTGACTTACCTTTAAATTCCGAATAGGAAGAATGGCATTCCGCAATAGAACTAATATTAGCTGTGGTGGTGGAAGGAATTTCAGACGGAGCAGTAATTTTAATCATCTTCGACGGAGGATCAGGTAACTGAGACGAACCGGAATAATCGCAATCCAACCTACGCTTAAGCATCGGAGGGCTCTGTTGTCCCATAGGAATCGGTGTCACTTTCATAATTTTAGAAGAAAGATGATCGGAACACTGTGAAGATCCCGAAGAATCGCAATCTATGCGACGTTTCAACGAGGTAATTAAAGGAGGACTTTGTTGACCCATGGGCACGTAGCCCAAATCATCAGGATGAGAGCTACCGCTGCGAATCAGAGCCTCGTCCTGAGCCTGGGCTCTTCTGAGCGCCGTTTGCATTGCCATAACGCGTTGCCTTTCTGAAGTTAACCGGCATTTTTCACACTTGCACGAGCGGTACATGCAGTAGCGCTTGTGGCCCTTCAGGGCGATTTTTTTCCTGTGGTTCCTGCAACGGGCGCAATTCGGCGGAGTCCTGGGGGTGACGGAGGTGCTGGAAGCGTTTACGTCCATTTTATTTTCGAAATCCTGCGAATCGGACATGTCTAGTCCATGCTAATTAGTCACAAAAGTCACTGCACTGGGAACTCGTAGCGGGTTGACCGTGAATTCGATGAGAGCAACAGGTCCGATACGATACCACGCGGTTTTTAGCGAGGCGAAAACTTAGCATGTGTCTACCGAGTCCTCGCGAAATCAACTGTCAGTCTTGCAACGGGCGAGTGAAGTAAGTTGCATTGGCGGTGCAGCGGGGCCGGAGGAGCAGTCATTTACGACTTTAAGCGGTGGGGTAAATGCATGTGCAGGACTGCAGTTTAGAACCGTGTTTTATGCGGTAATAACGTAGGGAAGTGAGTTTTGATGACAGGTATTCAAAAGTAGTTTTGTTGCAATTCGACGAATACCAGAAGGGTTATATTGGCCGTTTATGATATGATACTGTGTTCTATTTGTTATATTCCCCGGCGTTGTTGTTTATGGGTCGTAATACGTTCGTGTTGCAGTCTTTACTAAGTTTTCCTGTCTTATTTAGATATTAAATTTTAGATATTTAAAGTGTTCACTACACCAGCGAAAGGGCTATATTTAAACTATTACTCTCCGACTCGTTGTATATTTGTCTCTGTTAATTAAATATCGAAACAATTTTATGTCAATTACCTACCTACCTATATAGCATCCGCTGAAACCATTTATATATTTTCTTTTTTCTTTTTTTCATCGTGAAAATTATAGGAACATGAAACTTTTTTTTAATTAATCTATTTTTATGGATTGATCTATGAACATTAAACCAGACCTGGGAAGTAATTGCGGGAAGTAAAATGCAAGAAAAAAGCATTTTAAAATACAGTGCCCAGTAATTGGTAATTGAAGTCCTTTATAAAAAGGGCTTGGTATTTAGTAATTTATTTTCGCATTTCAAGCCATTTAGAGTGCTTGCAAGCACACTTTTGAGGAGTGGAGTGGTGTGGAGATGGGAGTAGAGATGGGAGTGGAGAGTGGAGGAAAGCAAATGGAGTATAGTGGAGTAGAGTGTTGTAGAGTGGTTTAAAGTAGGGATAAAGTGGGGTTAAGTGGGTGAGGCACAGTGGGGTTGAGTGGGTGGGGTAGAGTGGGGTTGAGTGGTTGGGGTAAAGTGGGGGGTAGAATGGGGGGGGGGGGGGTATAATGGGTGGTAGAGTGGGGGTAATGTGGGGGGGGTGATATAATAGAGTAGAGTTAGGTAGAGTGAATTTGAGTGGGGTAGAGTGAATTTGAGTAGGGTAGAGTAGTGATAGAGTAGGATTAGGGTGGGGTAGAGTAGAGTAGTGGATAGAGTGACAAAACAGTGGAATAGAGTGGAGCAAAGTGGAGTGGAGAGAAAGAGAGGGCAAGTTTAAGATGACACCCTATGAAGTGAACAGAGCATGAGCAGAATCAGGGCCGACAAGAGGGGGAGAGGTAGCCGGGACTAATTCCTGGGGCCCGAGCTCAAGTGGGAGCCCGGCAGTGGCACAGGGGGGGCCTGGCAGCTCTGGTGTGAGGACGTTTGTACCGTTGCACAAGAGAAAGGACTAAAGAGGACGAATAGTTTTAGCTTGAGGATCTTTTTTTTAGAAATATCTCTAAAGAGGACGAGAAGTTTTTGCTTGAGAGCCTAATTTTTTTGATAAAATTGTCGCGATGCCCGACCTGGAAAATTGTCCCGGGGCCCGATCTGGCTCTCAGCGGCCCTAAGTAGAATCCTGCCAAGTCAGAGAGGGAATGTAGTAAATTATTACGCTTTACAATAGAATAATATAAAATAAACTTTTAGAATTTACTTATAATAATCAGTATGTTAAATAATTTTAAAATACAAATAATACCCAGCACAAAACCACAGAACAATAGTACGTGCTGTTTATTGACATTTCATTATTTGACTTCCCGACAGATCTCGGTCTTTTAACAAAGAGATAAAAGAGTACGCTCGGGTCCATATTCAGAGTCATATCGAACGCGGAAGATCACGCTCCGAATTTCCAATAAAACGCTGATCAACCCGAGTTTTTCTACTCAAACTCACGGAGAGAGAGAGAAAGAGAAGAGGCAAAATAGCCGCGTGCAATACCTGCTTTGAGCAATCTATATAATTGTCAATTAAATTGCTGAGTGTCAACTTTCGTTAGAATTAGGCATTCCAACGAGAGTTGCAAATTGTCACTCGGCGATGTAATTGACAGGATCAATGATATAAATATTACATAGATTGCTCAAAGCGGGTTGTTTTGTGCGCTGGTACTGCTGGTATGAATCAAAGTAGGCATCCCTAATCTGTCAATTTTTTATTTTTTAGGATGCGCTAAACCGTTTTTCAACAAGCACCACAAAACACACTCCAATTACTTTATGGTACTTGCGAGGTAAAATGGCCGCGTGCAATACCGCTTTGAGCAATCTATATGAGTATTTATATCACTGTCAATTACATTGCTGAGTATCAACTGTCGTTAAAATGCCTAATTAATTTCTCTCTATCTCTCTATCTCACATACACACACACACACACACACACACACACGCGCGCGCGCGCGCGCGCGCACCTGTCTGTAATCTCTCATATTTTTTAGATTTCAAGTTTTACTTCTCTTATGGTGGGTCCACATTGCTCCTGTTCATGCTGGCGCTCATGCTCGTGATCGCGCTTGTGCTGTGTCCGTTGCTTTTTGTGTTTCTTTCAAAAAGTGTCCACATTGTAGTTCTGTGTTTGTGCTAGTGCGGTTCCGACATGGATGTTAATTATTATTAACGGAGGGTGCCAGTGCGTTAATTATTATTATAAAACGGAGAGAACAGGAAAAAAAGTGACAAAAAGACGGTGTTGGATGTCAAATATTTTTAAAAGTAGATCCAATTATAGTGGAAGTAATCTTCTCCATGATTTGCAAACAGATGGGATGTTTTTTTAATAATGTTTGTCGCATGAGTAGTACCGATTTTGAAACAGTAATTAATTTAGTTGACCCACATATCCAAAGAAAGAATATCACCATTTTTTTATTATTTAGCTTATAAAATTTATGTTGTGGATCCCACAAAACAGGATAAGTTTCTTAAAGCACAATTAGCTTCAAAATGTTTTCTTTAGTCCATTCCATATTGCACTGTGCCTTGCTAGTACGCTCGTACTTGACTGAACTTGAAAGCGAACAGTAAAAACAAACAAATCACCATACCGCCGTCAACTGTGCTCGCGCGCGCAATAGGCATCGCTTTGATGTACCACCACAGCTTATTCAATACAGCTAAAACACTCTCTTGGCGGCAACGGTTTGCGTCGATTTCGTCGCGCATCGCTTAAGCTCCGCCTTCGAAGGGAAAAGACGGTTTTGGCGTTCAGAAGCGTACTTAGGCAAGGTGTTGAGTCGTGCGTATAATTTCGTTGATTGTATAATTTCGTGGAGCCTATTATTTCGTTGATTTTGTTTGAGTTAAAGGTACTGTTATTATTTTGGTGACTTTAGCTGTGAGTAGAATGAGTTTGTGCAGTCAAAAGCTGTTTTAATAAGGGTTATACCTGCAAGAAAACATTCTTTAGTTTTCCCAAGGACCCAAACCGATAAGTACTACATTATAAGAAATTTTCATTGTTAAAAATATAATTTATACAGGGTGTCTCATTAGTGCGTTATTGTTCATTATTTTGTTGTAGACACGCAAGAAAGTTTTAAATAAAAGTTATATGGATTTGAAAAATACCTACATATTTTAAAAATATCTTTGGATATACAGGGTGTCACGTTTTTGCCTGGAAAATTAAAATGTATGTTTTTTAAATGGAACACCTTGTATTTTATTTTATGATGAAATTATTAACACCCTAAATTATTGTAAAGACGAATTGCTACAGAAAAATTTTATCAGGTATGTGTGTGGTTACCTTTTAATAAAAGCCTTGCGGATCCACTCCTGCGATACCTGTCTTAAATATAACAAAGATCACGTTGAATTAGACGATTTTTCTTTTTATTGCTTTTAAAAGGCATATGATAACGCCAATTCAGATACATTTGGAAATCTGCAACTGTCAAATGATGAATTTGTAGAACTAATATTCAATATTGAAAAGATATTTTAAAATAATTTTGAAGAATTGGCTACAAAAAATAACATTTGTACCACACTTTTAGAATTAATTAACCCAATACCCTTTAGTCATCCATGCTAACGTTTTCCAAAAGAATAACTTATTTTATTGTATGTTTAATCTCAATAACTAAAAAATATACTGACAATTAGTTTGACAGAATTGTCATTTATTTAAAATTTTAAAAATAATAGCAGTCGGTTGATCAAAATATGAACGGTGATTGGCGAATTTATTTTTTTTTGCAGTGTTCTCACTACCTAGAATGGATATGAAATATATTCGTTCAATTGAAGGCAATAGCATACTTTTTCGTTTTGTAATCTGTGCATGGATTTTAGCCAATCTACGCACATACTACAAAACGAAAAATTATGTTATTGCGTTCAACTACGAATATATTTCATATCCATTTTAGGTAGTGAGAACACTTTAACAAAATTAAATCTACAAATCACAGTTCATATTTTGGTCACCCAACTCCTATTATTTAAATTTTTTTAAATAAGTGATAATTCTGTTAAACTAATTGTCAATATATATTTTAGTTATTGATATTAAATATACATTAAAATTTTTGTGTAGACTCGATAAATAATAGCATTTTTGTTTTTATTATGTCCACATTTAAAAAAAAATAAATTTTAATCAAACTACATGATACTAATTTAATTACGAGTATTAAAACTAAAGTCCTGAAAGTTTCGGTGAAGATGAGGACAGAACATCTGCCTTCCATGCGAAAAGCCCGGGATCGAATCTAGGCCGAGGACTAATTAATTTTTCATGTTTATTTTATTTTATAAATTAGTCAACTTCGTAAATTATTTTAAAATTAGTTATTTTGTCTAAATAACCTAAAATAATATTTTAAATTTGTAGATTTTCGTTAGTGGGTCGTAGAAAAAATATACTGACCATATCGAGTGGA